CTTGCGTCCCCGGTATCGTGGTCGGTGTGGTAGCAGCCTGGGACGTTTGGTGAGTGACCTGCTGCACAGCCTGTGCCGCCGCGTTGGCCATCATCCTCTGCATCTCTTCTCTCGTCATAGTCACCATTTGTTGGGCAGGGGGTTGCGGCGCTCCTCTTGTTGGTGGCACCATTGTCTGCACCGTCGGTTTAACCTGTTGCGTCACAACCGGGCCTGCTTGCAACAGCGCGAGGACTACCGTCGGCGCTGCTTCACGAGCCTCGTGCTCCCTGCTCGTGCCTTCTCCTCCACCCGAGATCGCTGTGCTCTGGGGCATCGGCGTTGGGGTCACCGGTGTTCGGGATGCTCCAGAGAATTCGGGTGGAGGTCCTGCTCCCATCGGTCTTGTCGTCGTCCACGCTTCATCAAATGACGACTGCAAATTCACTCGAGGAACTCCGTCCGCCATAGCTGAGCTCAAAACACAACTTTTTGAACGAGAGTCCCACAGACGGCGCCAATAATACAAGTCTCGTACCCCGACCGGCTGGAAATCACCCTAAGCTCATTCTCCTCGCCGGTTGAACGCGGAACCTGCACGAAACTCCCACATCGGAGGTGTTTTCCGGTGAAGAGCCTCCAACGCTCAAGTCAGATCTTGAGAGAGAAAGTATATGGGTAAATATATGATAGTATGAGAGATTATTCGAAAAATGAGGATCCTCGTCCCTATTTATAGGGACGAGCTACCTGTTCTACACGCGCGACTTAGGCGAGTCTTGTCAGCTGTCCTCCTGCTCGTCCGTACGGCAGCGCGCTCCCACTATCTCTAATGTCAGTGAACGCGTCGAATCTGTCAGAGAATGTCAGAGTTCGTTACAGCCGCAGCCCACTCATAAAGCGCCGCGTGTCTCCTCCTCATGTGCTGGAGGCTCTTCTATTTATCTTGATGTTCGACCGAATCTTCGACGAGCATCGAGCTGTCGACCACACGCATCTGGCCATGTTTCCTCGACTATCTCCTCGAGCAGGCGGCGCTTATCCAATGCTACCAAGCCTGTTCTCTTTCGCCGGCTACCTTCTTTCCTTTGCTGATCTATTTTAT